AATAATGAGATTTATGTTAAAAAAATATCTTATTAACTGTATTTTTAACTATATTTTGCATTCCAAATTATTTTTTTAATATATGCATTCTTATATGTGAATGGTTAAAGGAAGATTTATGTAACTTACCATGAAAACTTGAGATTATGGCTTTTTTATATTTGTAGTGTTGGCGGATATTAATATACCTCTGCATGAGAGACCGAAGTTTATAAAATTTTTTTAACCCTTATTTTGTAACTATTAGTTTACTGATTTGGAATTTCCTTAAATGTTTTAATATTAAAAAAATCTTTTCTAATTTGTCTTGGTCTGTAATCATTGGATTTCCTTATACAAAACATCTAGAGGTTTTATCAGTGGCAAGAGTATTGTGAATTTTTTTCCTCATTATGCTTCTATTTGTTAAATCAATTTTGTTAGGCTATTGAGCTTTTTCATTTGAAGAGCCAAGTTTCTGTGTTTACTTCCTTTAGATGGTATATGATTGTTATAATCTAGCCCATATACATGTTATGTGGTTGTGAAAAATATTGTAATTAAAATTCCGGTTCTATTAACATGGCAAATTATGGACTTCTTCAACCTATCAAAATGTTTACCTGTAAAGCAATCTAAAGACTAATGATTTTATTTTGGTTGTCCAGCTAGATGAAGAATTATACCGTGCAAAATGCCATATTTCAGAGGGGGATGTGTCATCTCTTCTTCCAAACAAAGATCATGGTGCATTATCTTTTGTTTACTTTTTTCTGGATTCCAATTCTGATCCTAAATTGAATTTCCTTTTTTCTTTTCCAATATGTGATGTCCATGTCGATCGTTTTTCTTTATGAGCAGGAATGTTCTTGAAGATGTTCCTTGGAACACTGAATGTTCAGGCTACAAGGAAAGAGGTTCGTCTTAAAGTGAAAGAGGAGTACAACGATTACAGGTTAAGTTGTTTTGTTTATTTGGTTACATAGCTGTCTTTCATGTTTGAAAGTTGAAACTTCATATTTGATAAAGAGGGCTCATTCTTGTTATTGTTGGATAATTAGAAGAGTACTTAGTGTAAATTCTAAAGATTTGCATGCATATCTCTAGCTTTTCTATAGGCTTGAATGGACCATGACAAGATTTCCTTCTCATCTATGGTGCCAATTTGCGGCTCATGAATACCAAATGATTGTTTTTAGGCAGTTTCTGTGTTAGTACTCATGTTCAAGAAACTTTTATTTATCTGTCAACTTATAAAAGCAGTTTTTGTTTTAATCCTTCTTGAAATCGCACTACCATCATGTTGGTAGGTCCGTTTCCAAGGTTTTCGGGACACTCTTGTTGTACTTTCTTCACCTGTACTTTCACTTCATTTATTTTTCATGGTCTTTGTTTAACTAGAAAATGCACAAAGTGTGGAAGATCAACCTTAGAAAACTAACATTTTATGGTGATCATGTAATCATGATGATGTATTGTTAAGAATACTTAATTAAATGAGGGATCTGAAGGTTGCAGCTCTATAAAAACTTTACTTTTAATATCTCCAGTGAAAATCTACCAATAAATCTGAACTTGACCAAACCACATGATAGTGTCTTTGTTCTATTGAAAAGTTAGATTGAAGAGAATCATCCAAAGCTTATAGGCAACCTAATCAAACATATTTTGAGCTGTTCCATCACCATCTAATCCTAAGTTATTAGTGTTTAGTGACATTAACAAATAATTCTTCCTTGCATCTTATTGATTCTCATCCTTCTAAGAAGTAAATTACGAAAGAGTATCAGTGGCATGTTCTGCGTTTGAGCACATCACATAAAATTGCCAAGGTTAGTTAGTCATTAGGGATGCTGACTCGGCCATTAGTAGGAGATTTCTTTTCTTTATTCCCTGTGATTCAATTCTGGTAGTAGGCTTGCGTTGGTGAAAATTCTCATAATATGTTCCTATTAAGTTAAATATATTACATTTACATAATGAAAGGTAGATTTAAGTTTAGAAATTCCACCTTGTAACCTGACAGTGCCGTCAGACAAGCATGCTGATATATGAATTTCATGACTATCTATAAACAATCTAGATGTAACTGGAAAGCAACCATCTTCTTGCTTAGAGGTTGACATAATTTTGTGAGTAAATGTGATGAAGATGATGTACTTTGCAGCGTAGTGCATTGTGATTTTAGATGCATATGAAAGAAAAGAAAACTTTCCATCAAAGCTGCAATAATATGCTGTCATTATCTCTTGGTAGGTCAAAATCACATTTGACAATAGTGTAACTTTCTTTTTGCATGATCGAACGACCTTTCTGTTTCTTTTCTTTCCCTCCACTATGCTACTATTAAGGTCTTGGATTTGGAATGGATGCTTCCCAGCATTGGTAGTTCAGCTCTACCAGGTAGATAGTACCTTTCAATTGCATATCATCATCATATGTTTTTGTTTGGAATTTGTGGTTGAAGATGTTGTTTTGGTTTAAACATTTGTTGTTTTCTTCCCAGGCATGGCTATTATTTCTCTATACAAGTTTAGCTTTGCGAGAGAACATGCTCAGAGTAAATGGAAGTTATATTCGCCCTTGTTAATAATCATCCTTCCATCTTTTTGACATTGGTTAAACTTACAGTCAAGGAAGCATGTCAGGGTCATTGCTGATTTTAGTTTAGGCTAAATAGATATAAAATCTGTCACCAAATGTTACTCAGGATAATATTTTCTATCTCTGATTGAGGTAAACTTAATGTACCTATTTAGTGTTTTTTGTAGGGAAGATTGTTTCTCTATCAGTACCTACAAGCAATACAACTACCACCTTTATTGTGTTCATAGTGATTTAATTTTGCTTATTATATTGATGCAGAATTCAAGTTAACAATATGGTTAACTTGATATTAAAATGCATCTGTTCAAGGGTATATTGAATTGGTACATCTGGTTTAGGATTTTAGTGGGTTCAGTTCACTTAGCGCAGCGTGAAACCTGGAGTGGCAATGAGGGGGCATCCACATGATTTGATATAAGTAAGATCTTCAAACCCTATCTACATGATCTGATATAATTATGATCTTCAAACCCTATCCATGTAAACTAGCTTGTCAGCTGAGTTCAGATTTTGTGCTACCAAGCTCAACTATTATAATGCTTTAACTTTTATTGGTGAGTTACAATGACGCCTTAATTATGAATACGAGAATCTCATTTCAACATTTAGATAGAACAAATTACTATTTATATAGGGCTTGATAATTGTTTATTATCTAGGACAGCATTGCTTTTCATAAAACAATTTTTACTTGTGCTCTTGCAGGTGGATATTCCGTCATTATTGTGCTATGTTGATGGCTCTTGTGAATCTCACTAGGAGATAAAGGGCAACCTGATTGTGCCAACAAGCATGTAGTTAATTTCTTATTTATATATTAATTTGATAATTATTATATCCAATCTAACACGAATTTTGCGCAGAAAGGGGTTGAATTGTTTCTTGTATGGGCGGTCATGCAATGTTTTGCAATGCTTCTACAAAATAGATAGTAGCGCCAGCGGTTGTATACTCGCATTGCTTTAGGCAAGGTAACATCATATGTTTTTGACTTGAATTTTTATCATAGTGAATTTTTGCACCCTTTAGTAAAGCAAATGCTGCCATGACTGCTTTACTCTTTGGTTTCCTATTCATCTGTCTATGTGGATTGATAAATTATTAATCTTCAACTATTGTGCTTGTTTAATGGATAAATTTAGCGGATGTATAAATTTTTTTTCAGGCAATAACCTGCAAGTATAAAGTAACATTTAATAGGTACTAACCTGCTCAAACCCATACAAGCATACATACAAGAGATTATTGAGTTTGATGGTACATGCTGACTTCTTTCTCATAGGACTTGGCAGAAGCCTTTAATATCCGATAAGAGAAAAGACAGAAAATTCATACTTAGTGTAGAAGCAAGCAAGCACTTCTCAACTGGTGTTTTGCATGCAAAATTTGTGCAGGTTACATTAATTTCGTCGCCTTCCAAATCTTCTGAATCTTTGTCCTTGTTTTTACTGCTTGTAAGGCCCTTGTTTATAAACCTTGGAATTTCTTTTTTCCTATTATTTTTACGGATTTTTTTCTCATATGCTTTGATGTCTTGTCCATCAAATAGATTTTTGTGTCTTTTTACTCTGTTGAATCATGTTCCTTTGTTTAAAACTACATTAGTTTAACTCTAAAAAATAAATTGTCCTCTAAATATCAAGGGGAAAAGTTATTCACATGATTCCCAGATGACATCTCAACCTAACAACCTAATGAGAGAATAACATGGCTTGAGGTTCAGAGGATGCAAGTGCTAATAAATTAGTCTTATGGGCATATAAATGTCTATATCTCTGTAGTACAGGAGGTGTATCTGCAATTAACCCTGTTTTTTTTGTAATTTTATATTTCTCCATATGATCAAGTCTAAGTGCCATCTCTCTTCATTTTTCTCTCTCTTTGCAGGCAAGGAGAATGGATGTTGTGTGGGGAGAAACTACCGGTGTAGAAGGCCAACTATGGCTTCTGTGCCCCCATCTTTTTTTACTTTACATGTATAAGGTTAAGCTGCATAATTACAACCTCGTTGTTGGCTAAAGATTCTTTTGTTCTTGTTTAGCGTAATTTAGATTCGAGAGAATGCGTCTAGGAAAGATAAATTTCAAATGAATTGTGGAGTCACACCGTGCCAGCTACCACATTTTCATTTCAAGTGTATCTTTCATTGTATGCATCAGTAATCGAAATTACTCATAGTATCTTAAACATTTTTTTTCGAGTTTAAGGTTTTGAGGCGTACGTTGGGATATTGCTTCTTAAAACTGCTTTTGTTGGCGTTGCTTCCGAGTGGCAGGCAAGAAAACCTTGTCCTATTTTCTTTTGTTTCTTCTTATATAATATGTAATGTCTACCGTCTTGACATGGATGTCTCCTGACTTCTACTTTGATAATGCATGTCATATTTTGTGGCATCTTGTTGGTAATTACGGCAGTAGGCAACTTTGCAAACACGGTGCAGACACTCATGGCAAAGTCAAGATTCAAAGCTAAATTGAGACGTACAAAGAGCAAGCAAGATTTGGACCATTCTCTGTCTCCACCCTCTAGGAGATGGAGACTGCTATTGTGAAACGCTCAGCTCCCTCTTCCAATGTCATGCTTGAGTTCTACCAGCAACGCTATTCATGTTTGTAAAGTGTTTTTTATTTGTTTACAAATGAAGTGGCGCCTATAAGAACTACAGGCAATACTGCAGTTTACCTAACCATGTAGAATGATGTGAATGTATCAAGTTCTTGTTTCAATAAATAAGTGCAATTATGAACCTTTGTAACCATGTAGAATGAGGTGAATGTATCAATTTCTTGTTTCAATAAATAAGTGCAATTATGAACCTTTTCTGTCATCTCTTAGCTTGAGATCCTGCCTGAGTTACACAAGGAATTTTGCTGGTGCTGAGAAGTGGAGGCATAGGGCTGACGTCATCATCATCGGAAAAGGGAACTTTTGCTGTCGGTTATTAGATGTCTGATTGAGGTTGTTTGCGAGTTGTGACAAGCAAATAATGTGTTTGAACATTTTGTGACCATTTTACATTCCCTACGGTAATGAGGTATTTTGATATATAATTCCTTCTTACAATTTATACTTCCTATACATTATAATACTATGAAGATACTTTGTTGATACAGGTCAGTTATTGTCTTGAATGGGAAGGGAGCTGAATTGGCAAAGCATTGTGTACCTGTAGATCCTACGAAGAGGTGCATGCTAAATCTACTTTGGTTAGATAGAGAAGGATGTCATATCATCCCTAGCATTTATGACAATTAACAAATTTATTTCAACCTGCATGATATCTATCACCTACAGAAAGATGAAAGAAAGCTTGTATCAAATAGGGTTCAGCCATGAACCAGACCTCCAGAATATCCTGCCACTAATATACAATTAACCCAGAAGGAACCTACATCATGCGAGTAGTAACAAAAAGCCTAGCTCACAAAGGAGAAGCTTCAACAGAGGTAGGAAATGCATATGAAAGCCAACTGCTGGGAGCCAATGTCAGTCATATGACCATGAAACTACACCTAATGTGAGACGAAGACAAGTTATAGATGACCAATCTGCATCAACCAGTGATAATTCATCAGTGTGAAGAATGTATGAATCGAATCCTAGATTTTCCTCAGAGAAACCAAATGAGAGTGGACAGAGATTGAGTTTAGTATATTATTTAAGTCTTCAAATGTTTGGTACACGAATCTCTACTATTTGTGGTGTATTTGTCTAAACTATCCCTAAATTTAATTTTATTGTACAAACGTTGTGAATTTTTAAATTTTGTTCATATCTTGGCTATATTGTTTACATTCAATAAATTTATACCAAATCTCTGCCTAAATAAAATTATAATTTAAAATAATATTAAAAATTTTACCACGTGCATTGCACGTGCAATCCAACTAGTACTTACATAAGAGAGAGTATACTTATATATACTTATATACTAAGAGAGAGTATATATATATATATATATATATATATATATATATATATATATATATATATATATATATATATATATATATATATATATAAGAGTAACACACACTTGTAAATACTTATATAGCAAGAGAGTATACTTATATACTAAGTAGAGCAGAGAGAGTATAAATATAATAAGAGAGAGTATACATTCGTACACATATATAAGAGAGAGCATACTTAATACATATATATATTATATAAGACATAATACATATATATAAGAGATTTAATATACTTACATATATACTTATATTAAGGAGGAGCATACTTATATATTATTTATACATATATAAGAGAGAGTATACTTATATAAGAGAGAGTATATTTATATATACTTATATACTAAGAGAGAGAGTATATATATATATATATATATATATATATATATATATAAGAGTATACACTGTACACATATATAAGAGAGAGCATACTTATATATATTTAATACATATTTCATACATATATAAGGGAGAGTATACTTATATATACTTATACATATATTAAGAGAGAGCATACTTATACATATATATACTTATATAAAATAGAGTATACTTATATATACTAATATCATATATACATAAGTTACTATTCCGGGCCGGGCCCGGTCCGTTCGCTGATGATCGGGCCCGGACCCGGGTCCGGGCCCGGTTTTGGCCCGGATTTCCGGGCCCGGGCCGCAGGCTTTTTGGACACCCCTAGATGAGAGTAACACTAACCGACTGTTATTCCTCAAAATCTCACTATTAATCTTGATGTCAGATTTGGTGAAAATTATTTTAGGATTGTGGGAAGAGGAAAGAGAGGTTTGCTATGTTGCTTAGTTTGATTCTTACTAAGCACACTAGTCATTCTTGCGGTCTCCTGAAAACAATATTACTTCCACAACAAACTTGATGAGCATAATAATCAACAATGAACAGGAAATAAACTCTCTTCAAGTGTTCATTCCTTATACACGTTTGTTTCCTTAGCTTACTTCTAACTCTGGAATGAATTATTCATACTTAGTTAGCCGCATTCATGTCACAAATGATTCAACACTACAAATGCATGTCATAAATTACTCTTTCAACAAAAAGCTTGTTTATTAAGCTTAAGTTTTCATGTTTGGATATACTTAGTGTGAATTTGATTTATTACATGTATTATTTTACTGATTGATTCTCAGACCACTCATCCACCAGCAGTTGTTACTGCTTAGAGTAATTTATAACTTGTTGTATTTTGATTCTAGTTGATCTTTTGTTTTATGTGTGGGAATGTATATGTTGTGAACAGGTATATCATATTTTTGTGGGAAATGTTATATGTAAATGATGTAGGTAAAAGTGAAAAAAGGAAAAACACAAGCACCAACGGTTGGGACCGTTGGTGCAAGTTTTGAAACTATTAATGCACGACAATTGCACCAACGGTTACAACCGTTGGTGCATCATACTGCACCAACGGTTGCAACCGTTGGTGCCATTTTTTTATTATTTATTTTGTTTTTATATATTTAATTATATTTTTACTTGCACCAACAGGTGGAACCGTTGGTGCAGATTTTATAACCGTTGGGACCGTTTAAGCCCCAACGCTACTTGCAGCAACGGGTATTTTTTCTGCCCCAAGGGGGCCAACCGTTGGGGATACTATTGATGCGGCATAAACATGTACTAAAAATATTACAAGTGCACAACTGTGTCAAGTTATAGTATAAAGATATCGATCCACGAGGAAGGTGTTTTGTAGGAGAAAATATAAAATCGGTTCTTATGTTGTGTACATGACAAATAGGAGTGATGAGTGAATGTGATTGTGGAGAGATGAAGAGAGTAAAAATGATTGTGTAAATGAATATATTTGAGAGTGGAAGTGATAATATAAATGTGATCAACAAGGTATGAAGGAAGAATCAAGAACAAATAAAAATCAAGAATGTAAAAATAGTGGATTCAATTAAAGATATGAGTAATCTAGAATTGAATCCACTTCTTAGAAAACGGTGATTCCCTAGAGGGTTCTAGCCTAAAGGCGAATCAAAGAAAATCAAAATGAACAAAAAAAAAAACTAAACCCAAGAGGGTTCTAGCTTCAAGGTGAATAGTGCAAGAAATTAAAATCTAACTACAAAATAAATTACAAAATCTAAACTACAAAATAAATTGCAAGAATTAAATACAAGAAAATAAATCTACTCTATAAGTATAAAATAAATCTAATCTATAAGCATGAAATAAATCTAAGGTAAGAGGGTTCTAGCCTCTTGCCTATTTAAACAAGAAAATAAAATCTAATTACAAGCATGAAAATAAATCTAAACTAATAAGCAATAAAAGAGAAATAAGAAAAACAAACCTTCAAATTAATCTCCATCTTCATCTTCATCTTCATCATCCAACAAAGAGAAGAAGAGAAAAATTTAAGATGGTGAAAAAATTATTTTATTAATTATAACAAAAAGTTATAAATTTAGAAGGCCTTCTCAATTAAGAGTAGCCCTCCTCTTCAAAAGAAGTTACAAAAATTTTCACACTCCTAACCCCTCACTCTCTACCCCTATTTATAGTAAACATTAGTGAATGAGAGCCATTGGATTAAAATCTTATCCAAAAATAATAAATTTTAGTATTTGGATTGTAACTGCCTGTACGTCCGTATCGATACCAGCATCGATAGGGGTATCGATGCTGGCATCGATACGGGCATCGATGCGGGCATCGATGCCCCCATCGATGCAGGCATCGATGCCTGCTCTTCTCCTGTTGCTGTCC